AAAAAAAAAAAAAAAAAAACTACGTTACAGAAACAAAATAAATGCGCTTTTTTCATGGAAAACGTTATTTCGGAGAATAAACAAATTCCAAGGGTTTATTCAAGACAAATTTCTAGGAAACTGCATTACCGTACAGTAATCTCTCTCGATATAGCGAGATCGTAATATTGATCGAGTATTAAAGTTTATTGTTTCCAATTGTCTTTGGTGGTGACAAATTGACAGGAACTCGAGACAACAAAGATTTGGAAGCTTGATCTTAATCTCTCTCTTGGTACGGAATTCGTCTGACATTTAGCATTACTTCAAAGAAAGCAAATGAAGCGCGAAATACTTTCACGTAAAAAAGAGTATTACAGACGTGTATAAGGCATCTAGAGATGCTGGAGAGCTTTGTGTTCTATAGAAAAAAAAAATAAAATTAAAATATCACGTAGCAAAGAATTCATGAATGCTTCATTAAAAAGTTATGATAAAAACGTGAAATGCGTCAAACACGTTAATACTCTCTTTTCTTACTGTTGGTTTGATGTAGGATGAAACAAGACATAATATTGATGTAAGATACCGCTCACTGTCTTTGCAAGTCTCTTACTGTACCTTTGTTCTACTTATAGCATTTACTTTGAAAGTAAAAGTTCACAATAGAGAAACATCTACGCGAAATGAATTAATCATTCACAAACCACGATGAAATTTAGTCTACAATAAATTCAATAGCACATTGATATCATAACTTTCCATTCATAAATGCAAATGACATTTCGAAATGCATGCATAAGTATGTACCTCTACGTTTCACATTTTTGTCATAACTTTTTAATGAAACATTTATGAAGTTTTTGCTGCTGGATATTCCAGTATTATTTTTACCTTTTACGGAACATCCTCCATAAATTTGGAGGCACAGTAAATTTACCTCGGAATTTATCATCGCTTAAGATTAATGAAGTTATGAAAGTAAATCACTTATTCCTTGAGAACTGAATATTAATCTTGTATCTATGTACAACGAAATGAAGAAATTCTGACTTCTCATATATATGTATGTATGTATATATGTATATTCGAACGGTTGTCGACTTTAGCCGAAAATCTAGTCTGGTTGTCGATGCTCTTAAACTTAGAGCCTCGCTGTATCGTGGAGAGAATTACTCATAATGCCACGTACAATGCCTTGTATTCCAATGTACTATGCTCGCTGGGATCGTGTCAATGGGTTCGTTTGGACAAGAAATTGCACGGCGAGATTCCTAAAAGAGAGTTAGCTGAGAGTGCAAACGAGAGAGCGAAACTGGCGCGTGGCTTACCTGCAGGGGTCCCAGGTGAGGCCTCCGGGACAATCGTCGTCGGTGAGAATGTCACACTCGAAGGGCGAGCATACGCAGGAGAGAGCCCTCGCGACCGCGAGTGAGAATACCACGATGCCCCCCAGCAACAGTAACGAGGCCCTCATTTTTCACTCCTCCGCCGCTTTCTTTTCCTCGTGTTTTTTTTTTTATCTCGCGTGTGTCCTCTCCTCTGTGTCTTCTGCAGTCACGATCACGGGTCGTCCCTCCCGAAAACGCGTCGTCCCTCGAATCGTGAGATCAGTTCATCGCGAAACGATTCGCCACGCGTGCATCTCAGCTGCGGCTCGTCAACCGCGCGCCTAAACGCATGTTTCCCCTCTATCGTTGTCTCGTCGATCCGCTTCCTCACAAGGGTAGAAGTACAATCACCGGCACCGTCTCGTCCACGTCACGGACTTGTTTGAGTCAGCGTGAAAGACACCGCGATCCAGTCTCGCTTTTTCAGATTCTAGCTAAACGCGCGTCTTCTAACTACGCGTTACGCATTGCGACGTAGGAGCAAACTGAAAAACAGAGCATGTCGGGCAAGCCTTTCGATTATACGGATCGTGATGTTGGCGCGCGATTCCAAACTGAAAATATTTACATTACATTTCGCGTGATCGTTTGTCGTCGCCATGTTTGTCGGCGAACGCGCTGTATTTCCGTTTCAACAACTCTGCAAGACTCTGCAAACCGTAGACGATGTAACCGATATCGGAATAACAAAGTGACAGGCGAAACGAGAGGAAACGAGAGGAAATCCTAGCGTAATCGTTCATGAATTGGTTCTAGTAGATGCGTTCTATCATTTCCATGGTCGAAAGATCTTCCTTCCGAGTGAGAAGATCGTGAGTTAGTTCGAACGTTCCCGAGGAATCGACAAATCGAGCTGGTGCAACGAGCAACCACGAAATTACCTCGAGCATCGAATGCCAGCGAATGTTCCTGAACGAGATTCCTCATCTTGCCGCGATCAAGCGATTGAATTACGAGAATAAAAAAGGCCAGCTAGCAAAAAGCTCGAAGAACCGCATTGCCGCATGCACAATGCAACACTCTCGAATTTCGCTAAGTCGTATTAAACGGAAGAATACTTTTAACGCGCGCCGTGTACCACGTACGCGTCGGAGAACAGTACGCGTACGCGTTCTCGAGGTTGTATTTCCCGACGGATGCATCCGCAGTAACAAGAATCGCGACGTACATACATTATGGAAACAAACACGCCCGGGAGCAGCAGCCCGAGATGAAATATTCGCCAAGTTGTTGGCAACCCTCCGAACCTGTTCGCTGTTGTTTCGTTCCCCAATGATTTCACGCTTTACATTCGCAGGATATTTTCGAGCATTGTCAATGCCGCGGAAACGTCGAGCCAAATGATCGGTAACAGAATCGTTAAGCTTGCCGTCGACGCTCCATCGAGACTCTCCGTTTGTTGAGTGAAATTTTGTTTTTAAAAAAAAAAAAAAAAAAGAAAACGTCTCCGAAGAAACGATACAGGGGTCGCGAGATGTGGTCGCGTGCTTTAGCTCACGACCCACGAAATACGAACAAGGAGAAATCGAACGTCGAAACAACGGATCGCGTGTTACGTCGATTCAAAAGATAACCGATTGTATGGTAAGACAGAAATATTTACGAGAATGACGCGTAGCAGGTAATCGCATAGTAATCCCGACGGATACACAGTTCTGCTTCGTTGACGCACTCACGCTGGCAACAACATCGTGTATAGCCGAACAAAATATATTTCCTACGTCGACGATGTAACACCCGATACGCTCTGTGTTCAAGGCGAACGTGCACTGGCGAACAATCGGCGTCTACGACGCGACGTCGGCCGCTTCGACGCCTCGCGTCGGCGCTCTGACGCCGATGTCATTTCTTTCCTCGCAAACGGCGCTTTTCTTTGCTTGCTACTACTGTTCCATCGAGACCATCTCGTTTCACTTTTTTTCTACAGCGGCTGTACGCGTCTTATTTTCCGTCTTACTTTTATTTTCATTTCTATTATGAATCTTTACGTTAACAACGACCGATTCGACGATCTGATCGTGCCGCAAACACACTCGAATGTGCTGGTATTCGTCTTAAAAAGGTTACTTGCACCGGATAGAATTGTCAGCTACTTTTGATAGATAACAAGCTTCTGCAAGAAACGAAAAATATATATAGTCAACCGTCGACCGGTAACGTAGCGTGTGATAAGCCAGCTAGTTGCCAACTTTCTTATACCTGGTTAT